CGGGGGGGGGAGGTGGTGGGGGGGTGGAGCGGCGCCGTGGGCGTCCGCAGCGTCGTTCGCGTCTCTTCCGGTCTGGCCTGGTCCTGTTTGGTGGCTTGTAACCCCGCTGCCGGAGGTGGCAGCGAGCGGAGGCTGGCGCTGAGGGCCGCGGAGGCCTTTGTAACGCCGCCGGGTGTCCGTCCGCACCCCCGCCGCGGCCAGGCGTGCTGAAGGGGCTGCAGCCCTCCGCGGGGTCGTGTCGCCGGTGGCGGGTGGGAGCTGGTTAAGGAGGGTCTCTGGCAGGGTCGGGAGGGACCTGCAGCAGCACCCCGAGCCCCGGCTGTCCCTGGCTTCGGTAGCGTGGGCTTGTGAGGACGCTGCACCAACGTTCTCTTGCTAGTAAGTAATACGGCTTGGCTTGTGGAAGGAGCCACCTCTACGAGGTTTTCCTCTTATTTTGGGATAGAAAATGACATTAACTTCCTCTCAGCAGAACTCTGCTGTAGTAAAAAAATTAATATAAAAGTTACTTACTTAGCATTAGCTGCAGGTAATTAAATTAATTTTTAATCACAAGGACAAGGCGTGAGTTTCGTGTGTGGCTAGAGCGGCCTTACTGCCCCAGCCAGAGTAGCTCTCCATCATGGTGCAAACGGATTGCCTGAAGACTTCGAGAAGCTCCTTCTCAGAAGTCAGTGGAATTTCTGCCCACCCAAAGCTTGCAGTGAGAATATTGGGTGTTACAATAAGCTGTATAGTTCCCGTCAGTTAGCAGCTGGCCTAACTTGGGACAACATGGAGTAGCAAGCACAGTGCACTGGTAACATTTCAGAGTTGGATAAACAACCAAGAAAGGAAGGGTTGCAAATCTAGTAACTGTCACTTTGTTCCTGTTTTCTCACGGTTCTTTCATTAAATAAGTTAGTAGCATGGACAAAATCTGAGTGTTCATTTATGTCAACCTGTTTTGAACTGAAGTGTGTTGTAAAAGCTGTGAAAATTCTCATGTTTTCCCAGTAAAGTACTTTCTCACTGAGCTCATTGTACAACCTCTTGTTTTCATTCTTAAGTTGATCTCTCTCCGTTTAAAGGTAGCTTTCACATTTAGGAATGAGTTAAAAATTGTTAGAAAGCTAAGTAAGCTGTGCAACTATAACTTTTCATTCCAGGTTTTAATGCGTACTTTAAGCTATGTGCTTGGTACTTTTGACAAACAGTACTTCCACATGTGTATTTCAGTCTTTAAGAGTTTCTGCCACATCTTCCTTGATGTACCCATTTCCCACTCTGTTTTGCCTATTGTTATGATGTGTATTTCATTGCTGCAAACAAATACAGTAATGCTTTTGTCTTGCTGTTTATTTTAGTTGTGAGGTTGTATATGGAAGCATTGCTTTCTACAATAAAAAAAATCTTGGATACTTTTCTTGAAGGAAATTTAAAGCCTTTTCATTCATAGCTGAGGTATTACTATATTTCAGTAAACATTATTATTATTAACTGACATAATTTCCTTTCTCTTCTTGTCTGATCAGAAAAGTCAGATATCCAAACTGAAGGCATAGGCAGGCTCTTTCTCATGTACCTATCTGCATATGATTGCAGTTCCACCCTCGGGTTTGTTGGGTTTTTTTCAGAACTCTATACCTTTCAGTATGTTTAACCTCTTAAAGCAGTGGAAGACTTTGTTGGGGATTGTTTTACACACGTCATGGCATCACCCAGTCAAATATTCCAAATAGGAATGTTATAGAGACCATTGAATTTGCCTTTTTTGCTTCAAGCCATCAACATGATTTCAGGCTCATGAGAAAAATCATTGGAGGCTTTTTGTTTTCCCAGTAGAACAGCTTATTAACTTGGGATTGTTTTCCCTTACAGAATTGCATCTGGAGTTTGCATCTGTAGTATTTTTAACTTTTAAAGCATGATTCCACAGCAAAAACAAACTATCTACTTTCTTTTTTAACTCTTTAGGAAAAAATGTACCTCAGAGACTGCTGACCTCAGACCTTGCAGAGACCTGCTTCACCAGGCAAGTGCCTTAGTTGGTCAGTTATATTGAAAAGAATTATTAGTAGCCTACTGAAATTGCCCTCTCCCCTATTTTGGCAAGACTCCATATGCTTTTTCCTTTCTCTTTTGCAAAGAACATGCGTGCACATAAATACAATCAGTATAGTCCTGAAAGCAAAGGTGGTTTATGGTGAAGAGATAACTGAATATGATAGAGCTGAGTTTGGCTATAATTTTGCTGTAGCAGTTGAGCTGATTTGTCACTGCAGAGTTTCTGCTAACTCATAATAATGCTGTATTAACAAACTGCATTAAATCCTAGTAAGGTATTCTCAAGTCAGTTTTAACAGCCTTCTCACAGAATGTATCTTGTATGTTGCTATAGTTGATTTTTTTTTTTTTATTTCACTTAGTAAATCTACCCTTTGGGTGATCTCCTGATTTTTAAACTGCATGGAGATACTTAATACTAGAGATGTGCTTTATTCAAATACGACTGTGCTCACAAAAATGAAAAGCTAATAAATCCTGTCTCCTCAAAACCACTTTTTCTGAGTATAATATACGTCCATTTCCTTATTTCTGTTTTTTAATGTTATATATGTCTACACTGCTATTTCAAAGTCCAACTTCAGTACACAAAAGTACCTGGATAAGATATATCAGCTCAGGATTTAGCTGATTTAGGATCTAGGCTAGGAAACTCATGCTGGAGTCTTCAGTGCTGTTATACATTTACTGGTCATCATGCATCCTTAGTGCCTGCTGTTGTTAATGCTTTCTGAATGCAGTCTGGGCATTTGAGCTCTTCGTGAAGCAGGGTAAAAATAACTGTAGGATCCAGTTTGCAGGGTCAGATCTATTCACAAAGTCCAATTCTCAACCATAGACAGTGGCTGTCACCTGCTGCTACCTTGAAGTAGGAAGTAATTGTATAACTTCTGATGAGAGGAGTCTCAATTATTGCCCAACGTTTAAGAATTTATCTAAAATTTATTTGGGGAATTTGTCTGTTTTTCTCTTAAAGAAAAACACTAAATTATGCCTTAGATATTTCAATATAAGTTTATATGCATGCAGGGGGTGGGTTACAGAATAAATGTGCTCTATTATGGTATGCTTAAGTTCTTAGAAGTTGATTTCTTTTATCTAAAATGGGTCAATCTTATTAAAAACAAATGAATTGATACAAATGAAACTTTTTTCTTCTTCTTTTTACCATGGAGAAAAATTTTGAGGAGTTAAAGCCTTTTTGGTCTTAAAACAATGTGACTCCTAGTTTTTTACTAGTTGGAGAGGAATTTGGTTATCCTGTAAAACACACAATTTCTATAAATATAGCAGCATTTTTAATGCTTCTGCAGGCAAAAGGTATTAAAGGTTCTGACTTACATCCTGGCGCACCACCACTGTCTTCATTTTATACTTTTTTCGAGCACTGGGGGTGGTTGCACGTACTTTATCAAGAAGAAAGTACTCAAAAATTTAGTTAAAAAAAACCAACCAAACAAACAATAAACAAAAAAAGCCCATACCCAAGAAACCAAACATCCACCCCCCACCCCCTCACGTTGTTCACATCCGGTTCACCCCCAGCCCATCCCTGAAAGGACACATTGTTATCCAATGTATCTTTTCAGATTGCTTTTCGAAGCAAATTGTACCATGCTCTTTAAGTCAATAAAATGTTGCTCTTGATTACTAATTTGTATCTCACAGCAGTATTACTTGTGTGTTATCTCATTGTTTACTTCTCAGACCCGAAGAGAGCCTCTTTTTCTTCTTTTTCACTGTGCTTGCATATTCCTTTGGCAATGGGTCCTAAAATCTCTGTGGTTTTGAGAATATATTATCATATAGTGCTTCCCTGATAAACTTGGAAAAGTTCAAATATTTCAGAAAGCTATGGGGATATTTTGACTTTGGATAGCTGGCAAGAAGCGTTTAATGTATCATTGCAAATGCTGGATTGTTTTTCATTTTCTTATGAATCATGCCATGGGGTATTATTCTAACTGTGCTGTATGTTGAACACAAAAAGTCTTCACAATACTTTGCAAATCTGAAAAATGAAGAAATAATACATCCACACTAGTGTATATCCTCATGCCCTCACATTTCAATGTGATCTGTATGAGTTTCCAAAAATAAAATATATTGTAATTGCAGTATTGCTTGTTATGGTTCTCCTTTTTTTGCATTGTACATACTTAACCATAGAAGAGAAGTGTAACCTTTAAGGCTTGCAGATTCTTATTTGAAATGTAAGTAAATTAGTGTTGCTTTCTGTCAGTGATCACTCTCAGAAAAACTGAATAATAATAAAGAGATTTAAAAAAATAATAAAATAATCAAAATAAAATAAATAATAAAGAGGGTGATTTTGTGTTCAGATTGTTAGTCTGTGGATTTACAAACAAAACCATGCAATTTTACAAATGATAAATTCCATTCCTTTCTATTTCCAAGCATTTTGTGGACAATTCAGTCTCAGGTTGTTTACATTCTGAAGCTATCAAGACTCCTAATGTAGATAAAGCTGATTCCCATCTAAGTACTGTGCTGCAAAGTCCAGCTGTAACTTAGCTAGCCCAAGCAGAACAGAACTCTGTATCTTTTTTCCCCTCGCTCTACAGTCATATTGTTTTACTTCACACAAATGGCAGTAGTTTGAAGATGAGATTAAATGAAAGTGGGAATTAAGTTTTGCACTCTTTAGTTATTGCTTTTAATGTAGGAAAAAGCCCCAGTGTTTTTGTCAGATTTTTAAACTTTACAGCTGACAATTTTAGCATTCTGAAGTTGATTGTATAAATTCCAATTTTGGTGTGAGTATTTTTAGATGTGTTTTGGATTTTATCCCCTAATTGGAACACTGGGTAGGGTTATGCTTTAAGAAACCTATCCTTGTTAAATGGCTAAGAAGAGGAAAAAAAAAAAAAAGTCTAACCAGTTCTTAAATCAGTTCTTAAAATCTTATCTGTTTTCAATTACTGCCTTTTTTTTCCAGAAGTCCAAGTAATTTGGTACTTTTCTTGGAGAGATAGTGTAGACAGTAATTAATTTCTTGTATAAAAGAAAAAGAGACACAGCATTAAAAAAGTTCAAACTTTTGTAATTATTAAAAGAAACAAAAGTAGCATAAATCTACAGAGAAGAAAGAACAGTTCTAAAATTATTTAATATCTGAAAAGCCTGTGCCGTAGAATGCTGATCCAAAAAAGACTATATGATGAAAAGGTTTATGAAATACTGTTATTTTTGCATAACCAGACAAATCTAATGGATCAACATAAAAAGTTTGAATTTAATACAAACCCACATCAAGTTGCTATGAAATGACATCAACTTATTACCAGTTATTATTTTCTGTGAAAAAGTCTCATTCTGAAAGTCTTCTCTAACATGCACTTAGTCCTTGTCAATGTTGGCTGTCTCTGAAGACTGATGAATCTTCGTTACATCATTTAAGAATTAAGTCTTCTGTAGCTTGCTTATTAGTTGTACCAACTGAAAAACCACCACTACTGAACACATGCAGTGGGAGGCAAAGATTCCTTAGCAGTTTTTTAGGACTGTTAGTTAGTCTGTTATGCATTCAAACCACCGCAGATGTGTTCATTGCCTTTTGTGGTTGCACCTGAAGAAATATGAGCTGCAAACTTGCAGTTCTCAATATTTTTTTTGTTTGAAAATGTTCAAAACAGACTTGAGATCAGAAAATTCCTTCCTCCTGCAGTCAGACAATTTTCAAATAGTGTATTTTAGCAGTGTTATCCTTCTAACCATTGCTTTTTTTACGTGCTAACCCAGATAAGAGTAGGAGGACATTGTTACTGTCTCTATGGAGGCTTGAATGACTATTCTGAGAAATTATGTATTGATCTTTTGAAGTTAAACCCTTCTGTTGGTAATTCCTAGTCTACACAATTAATCTCAGCCCTCCTGTGCAATGGTCTGATTCAGAAAAAGTGCTAGAGATAATGAGGGGAATATTGTCAGCACTTGTTGGCTGTCCATAATCAGCAAGTTAAAACATGAACAACATGAGCTTTAAGTGGCAATAAACTGTCTTCTCTAGAATGTAGTAATAGAAGCAGCTGGAAGGAAGGCTAAGGCAGAGATTCTACTCCCCCTGATATATATCTTGGTGGTATTGATACATAAGTGAAGGCACTGTTTGAGGGAGTGGCCTTTTATGTAGCCAGAGAGACTTTTCAGGAATTTCTTTTGGATACTAGTTTCAATCAAAATGGTTATTGGGAAAGTCACATGTGGTTAAGTGGAGGGGTGAGGTAGATACACGTAACTGGCATTATTTATGGGAAGAAAGAGAAGGTGGGGATCTTTGTATTTCTTACTCATTTTCTGCTACTAACCTTGGCATCACAGTTTGGCATTTCAAGAGGAGTACATGAGCAGAAATGAAGCCAAGCAGATGTAGTGGGTGTGATTAATGGTAGGTCGATAAAGTTTAAGAATGTTGTTGCTAGGAACATGCAGAGAGGGAGAGAGAGCTCTACAGCGGATGTCGTGAACACTGTTCAGGGAAACTGAGTTAACTTTGTGTGACACTGACAATGTATGTGTTGGTTTCAGAGTGCACCAAGGAAGCAGTGACACAGGAAGCCTTTCGGGTGTCAATGTGAGAAACACTTGCCTTCCAAAAGTGCCATTAAATCATCTGTATGTCTGCCACAGTGTGTAATACCTAATGGCATGTAGCTGTTATTAGCATGTTGGTCTATTCTAACAGAGTAGATGCGGGACAATGGAGGAATTATCATATACTGGTTCCTTGCCATTTATTTCTGGTTTTGTACTGAATGGTCAACCCAGAAATGACAGTGTGACACAGTAAATATTAGTGGACAGATGATGGTACTTAAGGAGGGAAAATGTAGGAGTTGAAGATACAAGCACACTGCCTGAGACACAGTTGTGGAAAATAAGTGTCCCAGAATGATGCATTATAAGAGAGAAGCTTCTTGAGGATTGGATATGCAAAGAAATAAAGTATATACTTTGGGAATGTGAAGCTGAGAAGGCATCACAGCACACCTACCAGTCCAGGTCCTGAGCAGCAAGGAACTGCTGCTCAGAAAAATTCCACAATGTCTTAGCCTCATGGCTTTAACTATGGCAGTATAATTGTACAACTAGCTACACAGAGAAATGCTACAACTGCTCATGTAGGCTCTTGTGCCTATGTAATACCTTTCCACAAAGATTTGGTCTTTTATTCATTAGTATATATGAAACATGTCAATATTGACCTACTTTAAACATGGCTCTTAATGAGTCATTGGTGTTCCACCTTTGGGAAAAGTTACTCTTTCCAAATATTAACTGACATTTCAGTAGTTAGACCATGACAGAGTTCCTTCTCCAAAGTTCCAGAGTAGAAAGCAAAAATTATGACTATAGTTACAGAATTACTAGTCTTAGTTCAGATTGGGACACACTTTCACTTCATATATGGTTTATTATTTCATTTTTGTTTCACAGTGGAAGACCAAAAATACAACAACAATTAAAGAAATCTACCCTTCATTCTCCATGAATTTTCTTTGCTCTTATGGTACTTAATTATACAACTTACACGTTTTTACAATAAAGTTAGAATATACCAGCTTCTTTTGCATTACTGCAACAGGGAGCAGCTCCCACAAATGTAAGGAGCCTTGGGAAAAACTCCACAGCTTGTACAAGAGAAGAGCTGGAGGGTCAGAGTAGCTATCTTATGGAAAAGATGACACTTTTATATTAGCAGTAGACTGGCATGTTGAAATCTTGCCAGAGTAGTCACTACAGGTATCCACTGAAATCCCAATGACTTGTATTCCATTTCAGTTTTGCAATTAATTCAGGGCCAGGCAGTGTTCGGTGATGTTTGCTAGACAGCAGGGTTCAAATTAACACATGACACTTCAGCTGTGAATTAGAGAGAAACACTGATGAAAGCTTGCAAGCTTAAGGCACACACACTGTACTAAAAAGTAAAGTAAATTATACCAGTCCTACCTGACCTCATCAACTGGTGCTGAGATTTGAAAAATATGAAAAATACTTTAATTGTGTATGGACACAGCTTCACTATGACTTTTTTGATCATGTACCAGAATTAGCTTCACTCCCCTGCTTTCATAATATTCACAACTTTAGTTCATTTCACTGCTTGACTGCAACAGGATTGATTTAGCAGTGTATTGGATACTATTTTATTTTACTTGTCTCCAGCTGTAGGTTAATAAATGTTAGCTTTGGCAAGTCATTCTGATTGTTGCGTATGTTAAATGAATATAAAACAAATTAGTCTAATGAGGGAAACCTGATAATACTCTTTCTTTCAAGTTTTTTCCCATGTTTCCAGCTGAAGGTTGGTAATGCATAGAAAAGACAGATAAAATATAAAGAGCATCGGGTGATTCCTGTGTATCCAAACGGGCATTTAACATTCCAAAACCAGCTAAGCTCCAAATGTCGTTCTTTCTTTCTTCACATAGGTCGTGAAAATTAGGCTTCAAAAAATTGTGTTGTGCCTGCAAAAAATTGCCTGGCAGCAATGGTGTGTTGTGTAATAGCTAAAATTCTTGATAATGTCGTCGTCTTTTTTTATTTTTTTTTTTTTAAATGAACTGTCCTTACACTATGTCTAATTCAACAATGACCTCTTCACAGGCAAGTTGTGTGGTAAAGTTTCTCAGGTGGAGTATATAACTGATGTTTAAAAAACGTATCTTTGAATCACACCAAAGTCATTTAAGTTGTTTGCTGCTGTATAAGACAAATGATTTGCTAGTCCTCTGCAGCAAGCTCAGTTTTTGGTAAAAATGCATCTATTCCCTCTTCTTTTGCCATTTTTTCCCCCAGCAATGGCTAATCTGTTGCTTCAAGAATTTATTTTGTGTATGAAGAGACATGTATACATATTATTTTTAACTATGTTTAAAACATATTTGTGCACATGGATTTTTTTATTTTCATATATATATGTATATATTTCTTTTTATATTTTAGAGCTGTGATGGCCAGTCACCAAGCAGAAGTCCAGAGTTTGAAGCTAGATAATGATTCAGTTATTGAAGGAATAAGTGACCAGGTACTGGTGGCAGTTGTGCTCAGTTTCACTTTCATTGCTGCTCTGGTATATACACTTTTAAGGTGAGAATATGTTGACAGGAATTAATGAACATAACTGCATTTGTAAAATTCTGACTTTCTCAACAAATTTTTGCATTGCTATATAAAACAGCTGTGATTTTGTGACATTAAGGAAATGATTGATCACTTACTCTGTTTAACTAATTGCTTAGTAGAGTTTCATAATTTAATTCACAGTTAGAATTAAGTATGCATTTCTCAAAAGTGGTTTAACTCTTCGTTATCTTCAGATGGTCAAACTGAATAATGTTCATCATTCCTTAAGACTGAAGGTGGCTGAATTCATGGTATATAGGGCTGGTGTGCCATATTTGGTTACATAGTATAGGTAATGACTCCACAATTAAGATTGGGTATAATCCTCCAATGTACATTCTAGTTGTAGTCTCCTTCCAACAAAAAAGAACCCCCCCACAAAGACCCAAACCTGAATAAATTGACTAATTGGTTTACAAATGAATACAATGGAAAACAATGGACTTTAGTATGCTTTCCATAAACCAAAATGTTAAGTTCAGAATTCAATAACTTTAATGGTCAAGTAATCAAAGATGATTATTCATTTCAGAGTTTTTCCTTGCAACCTAACAAATATCTTAGCCTATATCTTTTGGGAAAATAAGTCTGCACTTCAGATTGGCTCTTTTCGTTTAATGGATGTCTGTAGACTTCTGAACACAGAAGAGTTTTAACAACTAAGAGAACTCAATTTTGGTGATGCATTGACATTATCAATTTAGTGAGGAGGATCTGTCAACATGAGAAGTATTAGCAGGTTAAGAGTTATTTGAGAGCAAGCTACAAAAGAAATCGGAAGTGGGAAAGTTTGGCTGGACTGCAAGGCAGTGCTGTAGTTCAGGACCAGGAGATAGCAAAGGAATCTAAGAAGTATGCACTTCACCTTACCTTTCTTTCCAAGGCTGTTTCAGTTATTCAGAAGGCTTCAAGAGTGCTTATTTTTCCTTTGCTCTCTTATGCTTTCTCTACTCCCTACATTGACATTTTCAGCATTTGTGACTTGGATTTTAAGTGTTTAGTTTAAAAGTAAACATTTTACTTTTGAATTTTATACAGAGAAGCAAGGTAGGAACGTGAGAAAAAGTGAGTGGAACAAGGGTCAGCAGTGCACAAGAGCAGCAAGGGTTCAGTCAGGAGTTCAGGGAGATGATACTTCAATGATGAAGGGTTACTTGGGGAGGGAGAAAAGGGCTAGTTACTTCTGCAGTGTAATGAGCTAAGTAAAAAGTGTCTGTGGATCCTGTTACATGCCCAGATGGTTTATTTTCTGGAAGGGCAAACAAACTCGGACAGAAAGCTTCCATATTTTGGAAGTCTTGAAGCTTGTTTTCTTCTGTGTTGTATGAGTGACTACTGAAAGTCCGAACAGCATCCTCTTAGCTCTCCACTGTGCCTTCTGCTACTTTCTGAAATTGTTCAGCAGCATTTTTCCTCTACCTCCTTTGTGTTGTCTCCATCAAAATCTGCACAGTACAGTGTAAAATCTCTGCAGTATAAAAAATATAGTAATTTTTATTTATTTAGCAGTGAAGGGGGAGTGAAGGAGGAAAGGAGAATTTTACTTTTCTTTTCTAGTTATCTTAGACAGTACAGTGGCCTGTGTGTTCCTTATACTGTGTCCCCCTACCCAAGTCTCTTTGCCACCTATACTTCTGTATGCAATATCTGAAATACTTAGGTTGGGTAGGAACAGGTCCTGGGTGTGAATATATGAAAGAAAGCTTAAGGTAATTAATAAGATTGCAGGAGCTGAACAAAAAGGGAAAGTAGGCTACAAGGAGTATATGTTGCAGTAGATTTTGTGAGGCAGAAGTGAAATATGGAAAGAACTGTTGTGAGATATGGTTAGTGTGCTTGTTTCCAGCAGGGGAAATTCAATGAGGCATCACATCAGGGCATGAGCCAAAGGTCTCTGTGCTTTTGGTGGAGAAACTTATTAGCAATAATTAACATATATAGTAAGTTTCAGATGTTTAGTTTAGTCACAATAAGATACTTTTGCAAAGCCTGTATGTGTTTGAGTTATAAATTTTGACAAAATGCAGCCAGATTTTTTCTATTATCTTTTAAACTTGTGAGTAGGTTGTCATGTGAGACTGAGAAAATTTAGTTTGTCCAGCAAATTAAGGCAGCCTGACCCTCCAGTGTTCCGTATCAGAGATGCCCTACTTGTGCCAGATAACTTACCCATGTTTATAAATCTGCTGTTTTAGATCTTTTCCTCTATTTTTCTACCCCATCATATGGTTTGATTAGATGATCTAGTCAGTATTTTCAGCAGAAGTGAGATCTTAATCCTTGGAAATTAGCAGTGGCCACCATTGCACAGTGGTAACACCAATCTCCATAGGTACTGTCTCTCAGTACTGAATGAGTAGGCAGCCTTCCTCTTTGTGGTAATGATGACTTGGTGGCACCCATTGTGATACACATGGAGACCTTTTCCCTCAAGTACAGGGTGCTAATGCTCAGAAATGGGGAAATTAAAAGAACCCACATCCTAACTATTTCTTTCTGGCTTGTGATTGATAATGCCTTTAATTGCATAGCACCATACCATTTTTCAGCTATTTCATTTATTTTCTCACACTAATCACATGACAAGTTATGAATTGGATATGTCTTGAGCTCTGCCTGTCCCCTCCTGGAAAATATGCAGTGCTCTGCTGCCTCAGCATTTTATACATAAATGACAGATGTTGTACATACTGTACTTCTACAGCTCTACAAATACTCTCACGTATTCATCATAGTATGTGATATCAAAGTCATATAAATCAACACAGCAGCAAATTTGCAATTAGATGTTTCTGAAAGAATCAGAATAAACTGGCTTACCTTCCACTTGTTTATGATTTGAATTGGATTTCAATATATATATCAAGTTTCTGGCAGACTGAAGGTGCAAAATATGCTCATTTGTAGCACTTAAAGAGGAAAATTCTTTTATACACGTAACATGTATGACAGACAACATCCACAAAATCTGACTCATGGAAGACCCAGGGTAGGCAAGAAGGGTTTTAATGTAAGCTTCCCATCATATAACTTTCATATGTATGACACACCCATTAGCAAAATTTACTTTTTACAGATAACCATGTAATTATTAGTATGAAAAATATGCTGTCTGTTCCTTTTTGAAGAAAGCATGAAGAAAACAAAATGTTGAAGGTATCCATAATGCATTGTGAAGGAAAATATTGCAGAAGCTCCTAGAGCCATTGAGGAAATTACAGAAATAGAATTGCAACCAGAAAAATTCCTAAAAATTCAGCCAGTCCAGCCCTCAGCTCTAACAGAGGATCAGCTTTGCCTAGATTATTCCTGGAACCAATGCAATCTGGTTTTAGATTTTACTTTTACTCAAAGATAGATCCCAATACCCTGAGGTTACCTGTTCTGATTTTTTACTCTTAGCAGTGAGAAATGTTTTTCCATCAACTTCAACTGTGGGAAATAATTGCTCATATTTATAGAATGAAAGCCTTATCCTGTCCCCTCTTCTCTCCATGAGTGGTCTTCTACATGAACTAACATTTCTTCACTCTTTCTGTAGTATTTAAAAAACGTGGCCAGTAATTTTTATTCCCTTCTGAACTTTCTTCAACTTCTCTGTGTTGTTATGCATTTAGCCCAAAGAGAAAGCAGAACCCAGCTGAGACCTCAACAGTGCTGAGCACGATATTGAGCACATGTTGAGTGAAATCCATATGAATAAGTAATGTATAAAAATTGAGAACTTTGAATATGATGCTGTTGACTTATATTTATTGTAACTCAACACCTCTTAATGTCAACATCATTTTCAACTCTAATTCTGTTCCCATTGTGCTTTTGAATTTCAAACTTGTAATATATCCAGTCTCCTTTCTTCAGTGAGTCTCTTCCCTATGATTCCCCTTGGCATCTCCAACCTGTAGTTTTCTTGCCCATACAGTCTTTCTATTTAAAGACTGATTAAAAAAGAATGATTTCTTTTTATATCCAGTCTGCTGATACTTACATAAATTCAACATTCTAAATCTAAGAGTTTGCCTACCCCTTCTTATGTAAATGGTGCGTCTTAATCTTTCACATAGCAGATGAAATTGAAATTATTGGGATTTTTCAACTCTATAACTTAAGCAGTGAGTGAAAAAATAAGAAATTTATGAGTAGACCAACAATACAATAACTAGTAGTGGAGACAAAGATTAAAAGTATTTCTTTATGATGAATATAAAAGCTTTCAAGCAACTTAATTTTTTGCAGGCTAATGGCTTAATTTTGTTTCAGATGAAAATCTAGTTTTAACATGATTTAATGATTGTTTATGGAGTCTTTCTGAAAAATCTTGCTGCTGCTGTACAGCTTTAAGTGTGCAGAGTAACTTTAGGATCTAGAATAAATGTCCTGTTTCCTTAATTACTTGTGTACTTCCTTTAAAATCCTTTATAGCAGGAAAGAATTATTTTTTGCCCTTTGTTCAAGTTTTGGGTTTTTTTCAATCAGTTATTTTTCAGTGTTGGGTCACAGTGTTCAGTTTTCCTTATTGCTTATGTTTCCTTTCACAGAAATGAACATCAGAACATACACCCAGAAAATCAAGAGCTAGTGCGGGCTCTTCGTCAGCAGCTTCAAACTGAGCAGGTGCTGTGCTAAGTGTTTGTGTCATTGAATTGCCTGGTTTGGGGTAGCATAGACTTCTCTGAGATTCTGGAAGAAGCTGGTCTTGAAAGTTATGGAAGCTTACTTACTATACAAAGGCATCATTGAAATCTATTAAGTAATGAGATAATGGGGGATGGGGGAGGTGTATGGATAACTTAAATAATTAAAATTATATATTTCACTGGTTCTTTTCTTAAACAAATTTTTGCCGCAAGGTGGAGTATCTTATCCTGAAATGTTCCTGGGAACTTGGTGGTAAAGGAAAGGAAATCTGGAGTACGGCTTGCTGCCACAGGACAGGGGTTAGATGTTTAGACTGATAATTTGTGTGTAGCAGAACAATGGCACAGCAGCAAGAGCCAGGCAACAAAGATTGACGCAGATAAACTTTTTACCAAAGCCTCTAGTGATAGGATATAGGGCAATGGTTTTAAAGTGCAAGAGGTTACGTTTAGATGGGACATAAAGAAGAAATCTTTTACAATGAGGGTGGTGAGACATTGCGCCAGGTTGCCCAGGGAGGTTGTGGATGTCCCATCCCTGGAAGTGTTCATGGGCAGGGATAGGCAGGGACTTCTGTCACTAGGGGATTTTTATTATATGATCTTTAAAGGTCCTTCCAAGCCAAACCATTCCATAATTCTGTGATCGCATCCAGTTCTGACATGGAGAGGAAAGGATGGGAAAGTCTACGCCAGGTTACTTGAAATTGCTGAGTCACAGTACCAGGCTCTGGACAGAACTGCTTAGAATAGCAAAGTAGCAGTCTAGATCTGACTTGTTATTCATGCTTCAGCATGTCTAGCCTTACTTAATGTGAAGGACCAATGAGGTTCTTTTCTTTGTGGTCTTTAATGGGATTGGAGCACACACATAACAGATGAAGGAAAAATAACGGGCTTGTTGCAAGAAGAACTGGCTTAGTGAAAGAGTTTTTGCATTTCAGTACGTTTGATTTTTGAATTTAAATCTATTTCTTCTTCATTTCGCATAGCTTATGCATTTGATTGACTTCTAGTAAAGAATACTGTATTTATTATTTTTTTTTTAAACTCAGTAGACTTATACAAAAATTGTATCTAACACTTTGCATTTCTCTTCTTTTCTAGCAGGATGCTTCTGCTGGTGATAGACATCGCTTCTATACAGATATGTCCTGTCCAGTGTGTTTGCAACAGGCTACGTTCCCTATAGAAACAAACTGTGGACATCTTTTCTGTGGTAAGCAGGAAAACAGGAAAAGCCCCAAGCTATAAAGATAAAACCAGAACAGAAATACAAACTTTGCAGTCACCCTAATCCAAAGCTTTGTTTGATTTTAACTGCTTGTCTTCTAGTCTGCATTAGAAATGATTTTTTATATAAATTGTTGAGAAAACACATTTGTGAATAAACAGTCACTTCGAGATTGTGCTTAATTTTTCTCTATGCTATCAGGATTGAAACTACCTTTAATTTTAAAATGTCAAGGACAGAGGGTATAATTCATTTCCCATTAGTAAAAAACTGAAGAGGCTGAAAAACACTTGGAAATATACCATTAAAAAAAAAAAAACTGATTTAAAAGAGTATAAAATTCTGCTTGGTGTTATCTTTATCTGAGTATTTTGGTTTTTTTTTAAGACTAAGTTTACAAAACTTAAAGTGTTTGCCTTTTTTCTTGAGGTCCATCTATTAAAATTTATATGTAAATGCCTGATGTTGCATTTTGCTTCCTCTCCTTCAGTAGGATCCTTTCTGTGCATTCATCTAGTTTTATGGAGTATATAATGCATACCATGCCCAGTCATTTAAACAAAAAAAAATTACAAATTTGGAAAACAGTTGAAGCACTCGGATTTTTATATATTCCTTCATTTGTTGAAACTCTGATAATAAAGCCAGGTTTTTAGGATAAACTTTACATCTCTTGACATTTTTGTCACTTCCGAATTTTAAACTGGTAAAATTTTCAATTATTTGCTTCTTCAGTTAATGGTTAAGAAGTTTTATGTCTTTTCAGGAAATAATACCTTAAAATTAATTATGCAGTTGAACCCATTCAGGATTTTTCTCATTAATAATATTGAATTTGAACACATAGGTTCTTTGGTGAATCCTGTACACAAAATTACACCGGAAAAGGTAGACTTTAGCCTAAGTGCTTGTACACTTCTGTTGTTTTCCTTGGTGTGTAATGTATTATTTCATACAACGGGTGTTTCAACTCAATGGTTTAAATGTCTGTAACTTACCTTCATCAGGTTCCTGCATTATTGCCTACTGGAGGTACGGCTCATGGCTTGGTGCCATCCGTTGTCCAATCTGCAGACAAACGGTAATATTTTAAGTAATCATGGACCTGGTAGTTTGGCTTTCTAGTATAGCTTACGCAAAAAGCACGTATATTAGAACTGCAATAGTGAGCGTGACAGAAGTCTGAGAAGCTGAAAGAATGTGGATATATGAGATGTAGATGGTGGACATTAAGGTTTTTTGAACTTTATGCTTTGGCAAATGGCTCAAAAAATACAGATTATTCCTTCAACTCAAATGTAAGTGAAGAGCACTGATAACAGTAATTTTATTTCCTGTAAAGGAATATATGAAAGCGGAAAGTTGTAAGATCTTAACTATGATTCTTTCATGCTTTCTGTTTGGGACGTGATACAACTTCTTTACCAGAACTTGCATCTGAAAGACCTGGCTGCTCTGAAAGACTGCCAGTAGGCAGTATACTACTGGTTTCTGAGAAGTACCCTCTCCATTCCTTCTCTGCCTGCCAAAAAAACCTACCCGTGTCAATTTCTTATTTTGTCCCTATTTTTAGTTTGTATGTATTATTAATTTGAACAAGCATTAACTTACTTCCTACGCAACTTACTTGCATTGTCAGTTTGAAATATGTCCCTGCAACTCATTAACACTTAGGGATTTCTGGGTCTTATAGTGTATGTTTTAACAAAAGTACATCTTTATTTAAAATGCATAATCTACAGAGCTAGTAACTTCTGGTGAATTGTATAACATGCTTCATGCCTGCCCTTGCTCATACATTATATCCTGCCTTAATTTTGTGCATCAGCAGGACAGATGACTGTGAGAGCACAGAGGAAGGAAAGAAAAATAGGTATGAGCAGAGGAATATACTCATTAGTATATTTAGAATGTAGCCCATGAGGAGAGACACACAAAATTAAAAGTGAGAAACACGGAAAAGGGCAAAATAAGTGATATTTTTTTTAGTGTCTCTTCTTACATAGATATTCTTCTGCCTTCCTCTGAGGTAAATTGGGTGGTACTGGTTGCATGGTTTGATTCATTCTCACCCTGTAAAGTAGAAAAAGTAAGGTCTGATTTATAAATGGGGAATGGCAGTATGTTCCCATAGATAACATGAGTCATACAGAAGGTTTGTGTCAGGGCTACGAGTTTAATGTAGATCTGCTTGTGCTGTCATTTGCTAAATGTGACTACTGCACAGATAAAAGGTACATATTTAGTGGCCAGGTATAGAGACAGCAGTTGAAGGTTGTACTGATTTAAAGTACTGTGCATTTTCTGTTTCCTATTGTAATCTGCATTTTATACCTGAACATCACTTCCAAATGCAAGTCTTAAGTTCTCAGAAACTCCTATACAGAACGATAACATAACATATACGTCAATATGACCTTGCATATTTTTCTGTGTTTGCATGAAAGTTAACACAGAACATAGCAGAATTCTCTGTGCTTACAAAAGAGATGAAGGTCAATATATTTCTTCTGTTAACTAATTATTCTGTAGTATTCTCCTTGGTCTTGGTATGAATGTCCATGTTGAAAAGTATGAGTTCTGCTTCTTTGCTGAAACGCAAGACCATTCTAAAGATGGAAGAAAAGTGGCCTCATTGCTTGCTTTATATGATTTTCAGTTTAAGAAACAAAATTATATTAATTTGGTAAATCAACTTTATTCTCCAAGTCATCTGTTGCACTTCGGAAACATAAACCATTTAGGTGTTTAGAAAAAGCATCTCTTAGATGGAGGGTTCTTATGTTTAACAATCTTTTAGAAAATCAATATTCTGTAAAGAGTTGTAAGCAATTAATTTTTTAAAACTTAGCAGCAGTATCCATAGATACTGCTGCTAAATATTCAACTAAAACAAAGTTTGTTCTATGTAGTTAACTGAAGATTACTGTTTCTATTTATACTTCACAATACCTGCATTTAAAAGACACATGTAACAAAATCTCCCTGCTGTACCCAGGTAACATTGTTTTTACCACTCTTTGGTGAAGATCAGCAGGATGCAACCCAAGTACTTCAAGATGTTAATGATTACAATCGGAGATTCTCAGGACAGCCCAGATCTGTAAGTTTTGGGTAAATTTGGGTGGAAGTCAGTTATTTTAGGGGAGATAAACAGCATTTTTGTGATTTTTTTTTTTTTTCCCCTTCTTTTTTTTTCCCCCTGGATTATGATTTTTCTCTTCATGAAGCTTAGGGACTATGAAAGTTTTTCTTAGGAAATTCATGTTTATTTTCTTATAGTTAGGGCAGACCCATGACTTCAAAAATATTTATTTGCAATTTGTGGAAGTGTATAGAAACTTGCATTTTTGTTGTGGGAACTGTTAAGAAGTCTTGAGTTCCCAATTCATATGTTAAACTCTTTTTTAATTATGACTTGTTAATTTGAAAGGATTGATAATTAGTCAGTAAAAATACTTAATGAAATACATGACCTGCAAGAAAGAATATTCACTTGATTGGTATCTTCACATTGGTTAGAAGATTATTTTCCTCTGAGATTATGCTACAGTCTTTATTCTGCTTTCTGAGTGAAGAAGACAACATTTTTTGATAAATAGCTAAGAGAGACAGTTGAAGTTCTATGAGCTTCAAAAATTCAGCTTTTTTAGCCTGTCTTCTGTGAGCATGTTCTGATTCACAAGGTGAAATGCACATGCGTGCATACTAGTAACTTCTCTGCTTATCTTCATCTGTTCGTTGGATTTGAATATAGTAACAAAACATTAGCATGAAAAAGTTACAGTCCGGTAAGACAAAAGAAGCATGAGATGGGATTTTTTTCTTTTTCATGTTCTAAATTGTGAAGCAGTTACACTTTTGATCCAGAATAGATTGAAACTACCTTTAAGGCTTCATTAGACTTCTCTGTGGCCCCAGTAACCTCTCTGAGATCGTGCCAGAAGCTGCATTAAAGCCCTAATCAGACTAGATAAAATTGACTTTGGTTTATACACGGTGTATTGCCTTAACCACAAAAAATTATTTTCTAGAGAATATTTTCAGCTCAGCAATAACTCATTTTAATGTCATAGCTCTGTGTAGAAAATGTGTACAGTGGAAAAGGAAAGAGTATTAAAAAAATTTCAAAGTTCACCCCTCCCTATGCTTCACAACAAAGCCCTGCATGTTTCCTACTTCAATAAGATGGCAGGATCATAGTAAAAAAATGTAAATGATAGGAGCAGGGATGGATTAAATTAAAGGTTCTTTAGTTTCCTTTGAAGCTTGATCCATCCTTTGGAAACGTATGTGAATCACTGGCTAAATGCCAGGGGAGGGGGTGTTGTGGTTCTGAAGAAATGCAACCTACTCTACTTTGCCTATTGTTTTTTTTTCTCACAATCCCTATTTGTCTTCCATTCTGATCAATATGTCACTGCAGGTAACCTGTTTGCTATTTCTCACTTTCTTAGTCATTTGTTATTACTCTTTAAGTCATTACTCTAGTAGATGCTACTTTTCCTTCTTAATAGAAGCCAATGTATTTTGTAGTGAGTTGAATGTATGGTTTATGGTATAAAATAACAGTTTGACTGTTTTCTGAAAACATATATTCTAAATCTGACTTCTTACCCAGCAAAACTAAATCCAGAAACTCTTATCTTACTGTTTATTGTAAAAAAACCACCCAAAAACCAAAAAAAAAAACATTTAGCATGGGCCCCTTGCTAAAGCAAAATACTAATATTTTGTTTCTTTCTCCATAGATTATGGAAAGAATTATGGATCTGCCCACTTTGTTGCGGCATGCTTTCAGGGAGATGTTTTCTGTTGGGGGCCTCTTCTGGATGTTTCGCATCAGAATATTCCTCTGCTTGCTTGGAGCCTTGCTCTACCTGGCTTCACCTCTGGATTTTCTTCCTGAAGCCCTCTTTGGAATTCTGGGGTTCTTGGATGATTTCTTTGTCATTTTCCTTCTGCTGATATATATTTCTATCATGTACCGAGAAGTGGTAACACAGCGGCTGAATAGATGAAATGGATGAAAATGACCCAAATGCAGAGGCAGCTGTGGAATGTTTTAAAAGGAGAACTATAACAGAAGTATGATATAATAAGGCACCTGTGTACAGTTTCAGTAGTTAACAATTCCATAGCTGGCCATCTTATACAAATACAAAGGGTTAGTATGTGGTGATGTTTAACTGGAATCTTTAATTTGTGTATTACATACACTTCATGAGGATGAGGTTAGTTTTATAATGTAATAAACAACCTTCATCTACTTCCACCTGATGAACAACTGCATGTAATCAAAGCAGAAAACACCTTTTCCGGTGTGTGGTTTGGAAAAAGGAGTTCTAATAAAGGACTTCTAATAAAAATTCCCTTTTGGTAATCTAGACGTGTATAAGGAAGTTCAGAAATTCTCCACAGTCCAGTTATCACAACTAAGTTGTTTAATGTCTCCCTGTTGTGGGCTAGAGTTTTTTAAAACCTAAGTAGCTTTGTGTGTCTCTATGGAAGAAGAAACCCAAGGACCACATTACAATTATCACCCTGTAGTTTGCTGTTGTCCACATGTGTCACAAAACCAAGGAGAACAGCTCAATATTGCTTGAACAGCACTATGTACAGCTGCATGAAATTCATACAATTTTATTTTTCTATTTGGGAATATACACACAGTATCTGATCTAGATAGAGAAACCGGTATTATGCACGCCAGACTGGTTAGTGCTCTATTTTTAAACAGGAGCATGTTTTTTCTCCTCAGGCTTATTTATTTGGTAGATATGTATCTTGGAATCGGGGATTTGGGCTGCTTTGGATCAATGCAATGTATCTGAAGGGAGCATTTGCATTCCTTTAGTTGCATTAAAGCATTGAGCCAATGGGGAGAACCCTCAAGTTTTAGGTAGTGGTTGAAGAAAAGAAGTCAGAACTGGATGTTTATAGTACAGAACTTTACCTGAATGTACATCCTGCAATACATGTGTTAAGCAGCTTAGGTGTTGGGGCATTTGATTTTCAGTTGGAGTTCTTTTTTTGGTTGGTTGGTTGATTTGATTGTGGCTAGAGGGTGTTCTGAATTACTTGAAAAAGATGTCATAAGGGACCACAAAAAAACCTGGAAATAACAAGGGAATAATTATCCCTAAAGCTGATTTGGTTGGGATTTTTTTTCATGCTGAATTTGAATATAGGCTATCATAGCTACAGAAATAATTTGAAAATATTTTCATTTTAAGAAATGAATGCCACTGGAAAGGTCAAGGACATGATAGACCTATGTACTTTTTAACTAGAAGAATGATAATTGCCATTTTATTTAAACTTCCTGAGTACTTGAAACACAGTGATTAGACAGGTGATTCTTTGTGTGTTTACATATATGGGATGAGACTTACGATTAAAGGAACTTTTTTACAACGTCTGTGTTTTGCCCATGCAGGCGTCTTTCCATGCCTTCTAGCAACTGGGCCTGTGCAGGAAGATCATAGAGCTGGCACCTGACATGTCAGTGGTTGGGGTGGAGATTGTCCTTCGGTGTCAGTGTTTTAAAATGACATTCATTTAAAAGTAAATTCACTGATTTGCCATCTGAAAATTTGCTTTTGAAAATCCAAAGATGTATTTCAAATTAACTGAAAAGCCAAATTTTTCCGTGTTGCTGTTTGTTAGAGATGGGCAAGAGGAGAAACAGGAAGTGAAACAAGGGTGGGAGGAGGAGAGCAAGACAGAAAATTATCTTTTTTGGAAGTGAATGCTATTTGTTTTTGCAAACTAACTGTTTTTGAGTGTCTCAGTTCAGCTTTTCCCTTTCTGTTGGCATTGCTAATGTATGGTGATGGTTAGTGGCTACCTCAGTTAAAAGTCATTAAGGTATTATTGAATAAGCATAGGATATTCATAAACTTTTAGGTATATTTAGAAAGCAAGATAGTAGTTAGGATGTTAGGTAAAACAGGATTTTGCAGTTTTGCTTTAAGCACTGTTTTGGTTTGGGGTTTTTTTCCCCAAGAGATCCAGCTGAGAGCAAACTCCAAAAAAGTATTTTTAATTAGTAAATTTAAGACCCCTTTTCTCCTGGAGTTTAACTTGGGTGTTTGCTTAGAGAAGAGAATGAACTGCTGTTGTAGAACAACTGGAGTCTGTTCATAGAATCTGTTGATGTGGTACCTCCTCCATATGTTTATCCTATGACTGTGTGTATACTTTTTCCCATGACTCTCTAAATCCAGAGTGGATATAGATGTACATGAAGCTGCTTACTGATTTGTTTTTATTGAGCTCCCAAATTCCACATGCTACTGTGAAGTTTATGCAGAAATACCCATCTAAGGGCTCTGCTCCCGAGGTCATGTACAAGCCATATCTGAGTAGCTATGTAAAACTTACCTGTGTTCTGCTTCTTCCTTCACTAAATTTCTGCTAGCCAGAAGGGTTTCCCTTGGAGGCTTCTGCTTACCTTTGAATACTGAGTAACATTGTAAGCACAAAATCAACACATGAAATGCTTGACAGAATTAGGACCATCCTTCCTTTTCGCCAATGTGTGTGCTTGCTTGTGGAGACTTCCTTTTGCTCCTGCAAGCCACTGATAAACAGTATTACGACTTGCTTAGGCCTTTCTGTGGACAGCTGTAATGTGAAGATGCATCTGTCCTGCGGCATCTGGCTGCTGCTTCTTTACACAGATCTGAACTAGCTGTAAGTTAGCTACCTTGGGTACTTAGCTTGAGCTTAACTTAAGCTCCAGAGCTCCCAAGAAGCTGGTGATCAATACACAAGCACGTAGTAGTATTCCTGAGCTGTGGCAGCCGTGCTAAAGGTGAGTGCTAAGCACTGGCTTCAGAATGTGAAGGAAATATGTGATGCTGTGTGGAAACCGACTGCAAACATCGCTGTGGTTTTGTCTCCTGAAATGGGGCAGCCGTGTTACTAATGGGGGAAAGGAAAAAAAGGAAAACTTTAGCAGCAAAGAAGAGGTACAGGGAATAAGTACAGTTCTTTCTTAAAGATCCTTACTTTTTCACCAAAAACTGTGTGGAATATTTGATTGTTCCAGCAATATTAACAAAGGGGAAAACTAAAGTTATACTTAATAGCTCTTACAGAATAACTTGTAGCATCTTGCTGCCTAATGATAATCGTTATGACAAGTGCTGTATAGGGCAATCTTTCTGTGTTGTGTGTGTCCCACACCATTGAAGTCTATGAGGGTGAGGCAGAGTGGTGTGATTTGGGGATACAGTTTTGCTATAGGTTTCATAGAACTGTAGCAGTGACCTGTGTGTTACACTAGATTTTTAAGACAAAAGGATTTAAAACTACTTGTTGTTACTTTTAATGATAATAAATTGCTAATTAAAGTAAGAGTTTCTCTTGGTTTATTTTATTGACTTTCTGGGTGGCAAATGGTTTTAATCTTCCTCTTCCCCCTTCCCTGGGCTAGGGTTGGTGGTAGCCCTGCTGCAGTCTTGATTGATTCTTATCTTTGTGTCTGTCGACAGGCAGTTCAGAGGTAACTCAGAGATTTTCATCTTGATTATTGACATTATAAGGATTACAAAATTTCTAAGATCTTAGTACCAAAAGTATATTGTATATTAGAAGTCTTTTCCCTGAGCAGTCTGACCGCTACCTTCAGATCCATGGGCACTAAGCTTTCAGGATGATAAACCAGTACAGATGACCTATCAGTCCTCCAAGCCAACAAAAGCATGAAGCAGGTGGATGAGAATCCAGTTGGTGAAGTAAGTTGAAGGAAAGAGCATATAGTCTCTTGTAGGTTTACAGGAAGCATGAAGGCTGCAGTGGGGCAGGGAAGAGCTGGATGTGACGGGCCTGTGCTGCAATCCTGTGCTTTTCCTGATTCATGCTGGGAAAGGCCCCTGGGGTTCAGGAAGATGTGATCCATTCTGTGAAGAAATGTCCAGCAAGTCTTAGCTGGGAAGTCCAGGGCCAAGTTAGGCCAAGTCTTCTGGACTTGTAGGTGCACTTTTTAGCTTGCTACGGTACACAGTTCCAATGTTTGTGGAAAAACATGTAATGACATATGTGGTAAGACGCTATTAAATCATGTTGAAAGTCTGATGGGTACACGCTTGTCCTTCCATCTGATGCCTCTGTGCTTGCTGTGAGAGGCTCAGCTAAACACTCAAGAGTTCATCAGCCAAGGCTGCCAGAGTAGGTGGCTATTTTAGAAGGTCTGTTGTACAGTTGCAGTTGGAGCTAGGGTTTCTGCTTCCAAGTGCCATCCAAAGAGGAAACTGCCTGTTAATCACCAACACTGGAAGCCACGCAGGCATTTGTTCCAAGGAAACAGAGCAGTAAGTCTCATTATCCCTGTTTCTTTGAGATGTAGCGTCCTAATGGGTTGCCTTCTTCCCTGCTGTGGGCACTGGGATTTTGACCTGGGGAAGCAGCTGCTAAATTTCATTCCACCTATGATTCTGTCAGCTCAGGGACCTGCAGATTTTTAGGGCAGAGAGAGGGCTGCAGGTGCTGTTCCTATGTGGACGGCACATCATTAGACACTGTGGTAAGTAGAGGTGCTTTCTGTAAATCAGGGTTTTTGTTCATTCAAGGAGTGAGAATTCCATCCAAACAACAAAATAAATAATTAATACTGCAAAATGAGGCAAGCAGAAGGTTAGAGTAGAGTTTCCTATACTACAGCTTGGATTCAGTCTCTTTGTATGCCCCCGCTCTTTATCACATTGCCTTATATAAGATGTTAGTCACTTCAGCATCCAGATAAAAGTTTATCACAGATATATTTCGTTCGTGCATGGGTAATCTCAGATCGTGCCATGGGTACTTCTAGTGCTACTTTCATGGCAAGTGTTAGGGCTGCTCTGTTGAGTGGATTAAAATAAAGGTTATAGCAGGGTGGGGGGAAATGAAAAGAGTCCTCCTAAAGAAATTCATAATTTTGTCATCTACTCTTATTGGTACTGCATGGCCTTGTATGAGGACATCTAAATTCTTGTCTCTGTTTATGCTGATACTAGATAAGAGGCACAAGCATGAGGAAAAATCTAGAAAATAAATCCAGGAGAAAAGGTTGGAAAGACAGGTATTTTGCCTATAGGGCAGACTGAGGAAGACACGAGTCTTTAAATATGTTAAAAGGGGATGCTATTGCTTGCATAGGGTATGACTGGGGAAAGTAGCGGTGAGCTTGAATTGCAGCAAATCACAGAACAGTTAGAGTTGGAAGGGATCTTAAAGATAATCGAGTTCCAACCCCCCTGCCATGGGCAGGGACATCTCCCACTAGAGCAGATTGCTCTAAGCCCCATCCAGCCTGGCCTTGAACTCTTCCAGGGATGGGGCATCCACAGCTTCTCTGGGCAACCTGTTCCAGTGCCTCAGCACCCTCATGGTAAAGAATTCCTTCCTAATATCTAATGTAAATCTCCCCTCTTTCAGTTTAAAACCATTACCCCTTGTCCTATTGTTACACTCACTTATAAAGAGTCCCTCCCCATCTCTCCTGTAGGCACCCTTCAGGTAGTGGAAGGCCGCTATCAAGGTCTCCCCAGAACCTTCTCTTCTCCAGGCTGAATAACCCCAACTCTCAGCCTGTCTTCATAGGAGAGGTGCTCTAGCCCTCTGATCATCTTTGTGGCCCTCTTGTGGACCAGCTCCAACAGGTCCATGTCCTTCCTGTGCTGAAGACTCCAAAGCTGGATGCAGTACTCCAGGTGGGGTCTCACCAGAGCCGAGTAGAGGGGCAGAATCACCTCCCTTACCCTGCTGGCCATGCTTCTTTTGATGCAGGCCAGGATACAGTTGGCCTTCTGGGTTGCCAGCATGCATTGCTGGCTCATGGTGAGCTTCTCGTCCACCAACACCCCCAAGTCCTTCTCCTCAGGGCTGTTCTCAATCCATTCACCCCCCAACCTGTATTTGTGCCATGCCAAAGGTGCAGGACCTTGCACTTGGCCTGGTTGAACTTCTTGAGATTTTCACAGGCCCACCTCTCAAGCCTGTCCAGGTCCCTCAGGATGGCATCTCTTCCCTCCAGCATGCTGACCACACCACACAGCTTGGTGTCATCAGCAAACTTGAAAAAAAATGAGACTTAGATTAGAAGCAACTTGCTAAAGTGAATCAGGAGAGGACAGTGTCTGAGGCATGGGTGGGACCTCTGATGGGAGGCTTCTGAAGGCAGGCTAACATCTGAGGTCTGGTTTCTGCACAGCTAGTCCTGCCTGGGGAAGGGGTGGATGAATGAAAAGGTGGCTGCTTTCAAGGCAGCTGGTCTGGCCCTTAATAGACACGGGACCAGAGAAGTCCCGATCTGAAGAAATCTGTCTTGCTGCTGGTGTTTCTGACACATGCTACCTGTACATATCAGCTGGCGAACCCAACCAGCTTACCTTTCTCCAGGAGGTTTCCTAAGTAGCAGTGCTTAAAATGCCTGGGGTAACAATATGGCTCCAACTTATTTCAGGACATCTTAATGATTATTTACAATAATATTCCATTTTATTACAAAAATTCATTGTTTGTCCCGTATTTTCCAAGAAGAGGATTATTTCTCATGATTAACAGATGCTTAAATTGGTGGGAGGGAAGGAGAGGAGAAAGGAACATAATTAATAATATTGAGTCAATTGCTCATTGCTGGCAGGTAACTGATGGGGGACCATGGGTGTATCAGGTGTTACTAATAGCTTGGCTAGAATATGTTGCATGGAAAGCTGTTCAGCTTCACGCTAGCATATGTTGTGCTTCACAGTCGAGAATAATTTTCTTCCCCCTCCCCCTTTCTGCCTTCATTCTGGAAACTTGGCTAAGATGGGGGGGCAGCAGAACCTCAAAATATTGCATGCCACATTTTATAAAGGGCAGTGCAAGAATTCCTGAGTAAATCACCTTATTCAGGGAGAAACCTCTTATCATTGCATGGGACATGTCCTTACTCTCCAAGGCGGAAAGTCACACTTTTGTCTTTCTTGCCTTCTTCACCATCTGGGTGCCAGGGATTGGTGTTGACTGATGCTGTTGCCTTTGAGCCCGGGCTCTAAGGAGGTCACATTATCAATTTAATGCAGGTTGACTCAAAATAACTATTATAATATGCCTCATCAGTGAGCTGGTTTATGACTGTTTATGGTTTATGTTTTCATCCCATCTAGGTTCTTCAGCATCCAACCAACCTGAAGCTGCTCTAGTCTCACTTCTTTTTTTCCTGGCAGGTCTAGTTTTATTCATTCTCCTCCCACTTTTTTATTGTGCTGTGTGAAGACCACAGTAAAGATCACAAAGCAAATTTTGATGAATCACTTGCTTATATACCACAATAGTTCACACCTAACCCCTGAATATTCCTTCCAGTCAACCCCTTTACTCTCTTGCATCTTATAGGCTATGCATCCGGAAGGAAGGTAGAAAAGTGTCTGATTAAATGTTTAAATTCCTCATGTAGCAAACTGAAAAAGACAGTTTGGTATAGCTCTGTGGTTCTGCCTCCTCCCCATGCAAGGAACTGAGCACCCTGGGGCTGCTGCCTTTTCCCAAGAAAGATGAAGGATCTGAAGTCCAGCAATCTTTTGGCTTATGCCTGTAACTTCCTTCAGCAATGCCTCCTGGTTTGACAACTGCAAGTGGGTAATGAAGACCAAAAGAAGCACAGCACCAAAGCAGACTTCCAGCTAGGCAGGGCTGGGAGAAGAGCTGTTGCATATAGTTTCAGTCAGGTCTGGAGAGACTGGTTTTTCTCTGTTGCTGAGGTTGTTGGGTGCAAGTCTTTTCTTGATGAAAAACAAGGCATTGCTTTGAAAATATGTCTGTGGTGTTACCCTATGTTTATATACAGGTATTTTGAGCCCCTGGGGTTCTTGTTCTCATGGTTTTGTTCAGAGCTCCCACAAGCAAGGACTGTCTCAATATGAAAAGAAAAAGAGAGAACTTGGTAATCACTTTCCAACTGCAAGAGCCCTAGAAAAAAACCCTCATGATTAAAACCACAAGCACTGGCAACACAGTGTTGGAAAAGTTGCTTCTCTGCAAATCCCGCAAACTTCCTGTTCTAGGCTGCTAGGCAAACCCTTTCCTGGATTCAGATCTCTGCTGTTGATTCATTTCACCTTGCTCAAAAGAAATGGGTAATTGATAGCAGCAATTTTAGATCTCCAGCAGAAGTATCCATGCTAGCAGAACTTTTCCTGTCCTTCCCGCTCCACGGTGGGCTGCTACCCATACGGAGTGCCTCACTGACTCACAGGGGCACTGCAAAGATCAGGGTAGATCTGGGGCAAAGGGATGTAGGGAATAGCTGAAACATCTCCTCATAAGCCAGGAGATTGCTGGTATCTCATTGCCAGGAACAGGAGAAAGAAGTGGTCAGAACTTTACCCTTTGG